TGGTGGCCGGGTCTAGACGAGGACATTGTCAATTGGGTAAGTTCCTGCAGCATTTGCCAGGAATCCCGTCCTGCTCCCCCCATCGCCACCCCTACCAGATGGGAGAGCGCCAGCGCCCCTTGGTCTAGAATCCATATCGATCTGGCCGGCCCCGTGCATGGAAAGATGTTCCTAGTGGTCGTGGACGCTTATTCCAAATGGATAGACGTGGCACAGCTATCCACGACCACCACACTAGCAATCACCAACGTGTTAACGCGCCTGTTCGTTACACATGGACTACCCGACTCCATGGTCTCCGATAATGGCCCACAGTTCGCATCAGTAGAATTCAGCTGTTTTGCAGCCAACCTGGGCATTCGCCACATTTTCACAGCCCCATTTCACCCTGCCAGTAATGGGTTGGCTGAAAGGGCCGTCAGGACCACCAAAGAGGCCCTCGCTAGGTTTGGCAGAGATGACTGGCACCACAAACTCTCATGGTTCCTGATGAGCCAGCACTCAACCCCCTGTGCAGTCACCAATAAGTCCCCAGCGGAACTTCTGATGGGCCGGCACCTGAGGACTGTATTGGACAGACTGCACCCACAATACTGCCCTGACTCTCCCCTCGCTTCTACTTCGGGGGTTAGACATTTTATGTTACAGGAGCCGATATTCGCAAGGAATTTCGCTGGGGACCCACTTTGGATTCCAGGCGAGGTCATCGCCGTCACCGGGCCGAGATCGTATAGGGTCAGGCTGGAGGATGGTCGCGTCTGGAGGAGACACATAGACCAGCTTAGAAGGCGCCTCAGCACCCTTGCCAACAAGAATCCAGAGTCTCCAGTCGAAGGGGAACCGCCTCATCAGCCGCCCAGCCACATCGCACCCAGCGACCAGTCTGCACCAGCGGTCGTTCCGGTCAGCCCAAACTCGGACAACAGCGCCCAGAGAGTTGACCAGCCTGATCCAACCCACGAGAGCTCGACCCCAGTAACCAACCCGGTGGTATCCGAGGATGCCCAGTCCAGAGAGAGTGTTGGCGACACTATGCCGGCTCAACCGTCACAGACTGATACCGAACAGACAGACAGTGTTCCCGAGTTGCGCCGTTCCGGGCGCCAACACAAACCCCCCGTCTACCTCAAGGACTATGCATGTTCGCATCTGGGGGGAAGGGGTGTTGTGTCCTGAGGACTCAAGGAGTTCTCACTCAGGTCCACTCACTTTATGTGGGCGTTATTCCCCCATTCCCATTGGTTGGTTCTCCCCAGCAGCCAGCTATAAAAGCAGGCTGCGGGGTCCAACCGGTTGCTGATTGCTGCGAGCCAGTTCCAGGCTTGGCAAGCACGGTCAGCCCTTTATTGTAAAATAAAGTATTGTTGCACTCATGCTCTGGTTCAGCCTCTCATTGCTCAAACTTAACACATCCTAGGAGGAATTAGGAGAAAACTTAAGATTTATTGGGGTGGGTTACTTTCAGCAGAGACCTGTGAGAAATGAAACAATTTTGAAACAAGCTCCTTCTTCCCAGGTGTATCTTGGAGCAGCTGTTCCACGGTGTCCATCTGGCAGGTGGGATCCCCACTCGGCCTGTTCCTTGATCCCAGCAATCATATTTTGGAGATAAATTCCTTGCTTGAAGCTGCCCATTGCCTTGTAAACGCTCTTCACGCTGAGACTGGAAAGGTTGGGATGCTTCAATGGCTATTTCATTGCCCCAAAGTCCGATCCACTTGCAAGGGCTCTTTGGCTGGATCTGGTACAGGTGTCAGTTCACAGAGAACAGAGGCCTAAAGTACTTTAGTGCAAGATCGTGAGACCAGTAGCGCAAGAACTCAGGCTACTAATTTCGCGTAATCTCGCACTGCAGTACTTTAGGCCTGTGTTCCTTTAAGGACTGAGGACTGCACGAGATCCCGGGCAAAAATCTTTGAAAATGAAGAGGCCTTCCCTCTCTTTGCAAGGCATATAGCCCTGGATCTCATGTAGGCCTTGGTTAGCTGAGAACAGAGGCCTAAAGCAATGTAGTGCAAGATCACATGAGATCAATAGTGCTAGATTTCCCACTAGTGATCTCACGTGTCTCTCAATACTTTAAGCCTCTTTTTTCTGCCAATGCACCAAAGTAGGCAAAGGAACCAATGGCTCACCACATCATTGCAATGTACCATATTTTTTGGACTATAAGACACACTGGACTATGAAGACACACCTAGGTTTAGAGAAGGGATACAAGGAAAAAAGTTTTGGCCTCCGCACATCCCATTTTTGCCCTCCCCGGTGTCCAGGTGCACTCTGCACGAAAAACAGGTTCATTTTTGACCTTCCAAACTCTGCACGTCCTGTTTTTTCCCTCCCCAGAATCCAGAAGCACTCTGCAGGCCAAAAATGGGCCCAATTTTGGGCCCCCAAATCCTCTGTGCATCCCATTATCAGCCTCCCCAATGTTGGTAAGGCCAAAAGTAGGCCCGTTTTTGGCCTGCAGAGTGCTTCTGGATCCCAGGGAGGGTGAAAATGGGATGCGCGGAGGGTTTGGGAGGCCAAAAACAGGCCTGTATTCCCTCTATAAGGCGCACAGACATTTCCACTTTTGGGGGGGAGGGGGGGAAGTGCGTTTTATAGTCTAAAAAATACGGTAAGTCTCAGCTGGGTCGGGTGGGAGGATAGGTAGGGTGAATGTTGTAGAGCCTCTACTGTTATTTGTAAGTGTGAATGATGTCCGTAGTACTGCAACACTCATAATTTTGGGACTTGGTCTCAAGTACTTGGGGGAGGGCTGGTCGTAACTTGGAATGGTCGCTACTGAACTGTCATAAATCAGGGATTACCTGAATCCTAGGATCCTCTGAGTCACCCTGCATGAGGCCTTTGTTCTTGGATTGGATTGGATGATGTGTCATCTTTGGAAGCCATGTTAGCATCTGAAGCTTCCACGCTGCCATTCTTGAGCATGGGAAGATGGGAGGGGGGAAATTTCATGCAGCTTATGTAGTTAGACATAATGGCATTCTTCATTCCAGTCAAGGTCATGTTCTTCCTGCATCTGGTTCAGGAGGAGTAGAGGGGACATCTCAAGTTGGGACGGATGGTGATTGGGGAATGTGATGTAATGATGGGGGCAAGGGGTGGATTTGTAAGTTTTTACTGATTGGAGGGAAACCTGGAACTTTCATATTCTATACTACTCTAATAAAAGAAACTTTGAGAACATGTCTGTCTTGGAGTTTTTTGATTGGAGTTGAGTTTTTCTTGAAACTCTGACAGAATGTTCTTCCATGGGCTGAGTGTGAAAGTTCTGTTCTCACACAATTTAGAGGTTTCAGAGGAAAAATGACAACACATAAAGTCACATGACCTCCAGAGGTCACATAAAAATACAACTCATTCTTTTCAGCTGCCACAGATACATTCAAATAGAAATGGAAAAATACAGATAAGAAATGGCACACAAAGCATCTAAGCAAAGAGATATTGACTCTTTCCTTCCTTGGAGCACCACAAGGCCAGATCCTTTCCTTCTCCCACCCAGGAGACAATATCTGATTAGTGCTTTTTTAATGAAAAACAAACTATAATCTCTCTTCTTGATTTGGGACTAGAAAACTCTTACCCAAAGAGACCACATTCCTATGGTTTTCAAGCATGACTTCCGAATGCAGCGCTTTCTGGTCAGGATCCAGCTGAGACCATTCCTCCTCAGAGAAATACACAGCCACGTCCTTGAAGGACACAAGACCCTCCTGGACACGGAAAAAAGAACAAAAGAGGAAGATTTGCAAGATCTGTTCATCTTAATCATTGATTTAGACAAGAGGATAGAAGGGGAACTCATCAAATTTGCAGAGAAGACCAAATTGATAGGAATACCAACACTCCAGAAGATAAGCTCGAGATACAGAAGGATCGACAGTTTGGGCCCCACCTAACAAAACAAAATCAACAGTGAGAAATGTAAGGTTCTACATTAAGGAAAGAAAAACCAAATGCGCTGGCCTAGAACAGGTGATACCTGGCTCAACAGTTGAAAGTGCAACGGGGATCTTGGAGTCCTAGTGGACAACCACTTAAATGTGAGTCAGCATTATGCTACAGTTGCAAAAAAAAAACCCAACAGAATCTCCTAATCAAGGCGCAAATCAGAAGATTGGAAATTATTTTGTAGGCCAAAGTACCATGATTACATGCTCAACATGGCAACTCCTTTTGGATTTTAATAGTCTGCTTTATTTTTTAATACGATTTCCTTATACTTGAACTACAGGTTATAAATAAGGCTTTTTAAAAATGGTAATGTGGCTACGTATTCATTAATTGTTCATTAGCCTTTCACAATTCCAAGTCAAAGAATTACAAAAAAAGAAAAGGGTGTCTAGCAGTTCCTGCCACTGTGGTAAATTTATTCCAATTTCTTCAGGAACTTTAAAAAAAAAATTTCTTGTAAACCCCAAGTTGGAGAAGTATCTAGTAGAACAAGATAATTAGAGGAAGCTATGCTGGCTGACAACTTGAACCTGCTATTCTGCTCTCCATGTTGTGGAAGAACCCAAAAATAATCCAGGCCAAACAAGGGGGGGAAACAGAAGGAGAGAGCGCTCTGCACACCCACTTCACTTCCTGAAGGGAGAATACAAATCTAGTATCCTTTCCCTTTCTTACTTGATTTGAAGGTTCAACTGCCGTTTGATCTTCCTCATAAAAACTAGAAAACTTCATTCTTTGTTTCTCTGTAAGGAATAAATAATTTCAAAATGCATAATTAAAAAAATAGGAGGTATTTTATAAAAGAGAAGAGGGAAGGGAAGAAAGAAGGGTAATTGGAGGATCTTCCATTACCTCCTGAGGTGTCCTGACTTGGATCTTCCCAAGGGATCCTCCTGAAAAATAGCTCCTCAGTGGGATTTGATGGGTTCTTCTTTCCCTCAGGATCTCTGATCTCCACAGTGCAGAACTTCAAATAGGAGGAGGAAAGGAAGAAGTAGAATTAATGTATGTCACACAACATAAAGTGGATTCTTATATTCAGAACACAACCTCAAAGCCCCCAATAATCATTTGTGTGGCTGGGTGAGAAAACAATGGAACAACGTCCTACAAGAACTGGAGAATCGCCTCATATTATGAACATGGAAGAAGTTTGGGAAGGAGGGATGAAGCATTCAAGCACTCCCTCTATTTATTCCCTTACGAACTCCCTAAAGTCTCCCACCTGACACTGGAGATGCTTCTTCTGCTCCTCCGCCTGGCTCAGGAGGAAGCCTTCCACCAGGGCCACTGCCTGCGAACTGCTCTCTGCTCCACACTCCCTCACCCAGCCCTCCATCTCTGGGGGCAGGAGAGCCAGGAGCCGTTCCAGAACCACCAGGTCCAGCATCTGGGCTTTGCTGTGCTTTCCTGGGCTCAGCCATCGCCTGCACAAGTCATGGAGTTGGCTGCAAAGGTCTCGGGGACCCTCAGCCTCCTGGTATTGGATGGAGGTCCAGGGTGGAACTTCTGAACTGAGGATGATTCCCTCCTGCAGGATCTTCTGCCCAGTTCTGGTCCAGCTCTTCCCACAGCTCTCAGGCTGAAGAGCTGCAGGGCCTTTTCTGCTCCCCTCCTTGGCCAAAGGGGGTGTCTCCATCATTCTTCTCTCCCGCAGAACAGCTCCAAAGGGCTCCAGGGACTTTGGGGGTCTCCAGGAGCCTCTTCCTTCACGGGACCATTTCTGGGGTCGCAGGACGGATCCCTGCTGGTCCTTCCTTTTTTCTTTCTTTCCTTCCTTCCTTCCTTCTTTCCTTCCCCCTCTGAGGAAATCCTGGCTTTGAAAGGCTGCCAAGGGCTCCGAGGTTCCGGATCTGGGAAGGAGAGAAAAACTGACGCCCAGAATCAGAAAGGGGGATTTAGCCCCTGGACCCGCTTCCCACAACCTGCCGGCAGCCCCAAGCAGCTCCTCCCAGCGTTGGGCCCAGACACCACCACCACCCCAGGAGCACCCCCGGGAAGGAGGCCGCTGGAGAGGGCACCCCTGCTTCTCTCCCCCTCTGGAGACAGGATCGGGCCCTCGGGGACCCCCGTACGAATTCTGCCTCCTCCTCCTCTGGATTCTATCCTGCTGGGTCTCCGCCAGCCCCACCCTCCCCTCCCCCCCTCAGCATGGAGAGGGCGGCTGGAGAGCGTGGGACTGGGGAAGAATCCTGCCCGCACCCGGGGCCCGTCTGGCTGTCCCCCCCGCCAGACTCTCCTGCAGCCAGAGCGAGTGCGGCGCCCTAGAGGCAAGGCCCAGTGGCTTCTTCTGGGAAGGCAGCCGTCCAGTGGACCAATGGGGAAGTGCCTGGAGTTCCCTTTCCCTGGTGGACTTGGGGCAAAGGGTCCGATGGTAGAAAGGGCGGGAAAGAGGAGCGCCTGGGAGAGAGAAGGGAGAGGGCGGGGATTATGGGCTTGGGAGTAGCGGGAAAGGCTCCTTTCCATGGCTCCCTGTCAAGGACTGCAGAGGCGGCTCTTTCTCCGCCTTCCTCTACTTCCTGCCCAGGAACCGTCGGTTAAGACGGAGGGAAGAAGCCTCTCGGGGGGGATCCGAACTCGCCTCCCTCACTAATCACCGCCCTGAGGGCTGCGGAGAGATCGGAGGAGGCCTCGAAAGGGGGCAAAAAAAAACCAACCTGTCAGAAACGGCCGGGCAAGTCGGAAGACGAGGACGGGGAGCCTCTCTGGGGAAGCCAGCTAACTCCGGCCTGAAGCGGGGGGGAGGAAGGTGGGAGACCGGCAGGGACGCCCCAACCAGGAAAAGGATTGGGGTTTTTTTTGTGTGTGTGTTGATTTGTCTTTTTATTTCTTTAATTCAATAAATAACAGCTGCCTTTCCCAAACGATTCGCCTCTGGTGGCCGCGGAAAGAGACCCTGAAGGAAAAGAAAAGCAGTTCCCGAATGGAGGGGAAGCTGAAAGCGATGGCTAGTCCGGGAATTTTACCTCATAACGAGGCTCCTCCATTGGGAAGCGAAAGGCGGGAGGAGGGGGGGG